CAGGAGGAGGGGAGGCGAGCGGCAGCTGGGTGACCCTCCTCCCAGCCTGGTTCTGGCGGAGAGGTCTCCAGGCCTGGCCGGGAGGTTGGCATCTGCGCTCGCCTGGAGCGCAGGACAACCTTGGGCTGGCCCTGCTTTCCCCAGCCCCACCCCCACACTAAAAAGGTCCTAGCTACGGGCCTGCTTGGATGTGATCAGAACGTGGACCACTGTGGCCAAATCATACTTTTTGAGGAACAGCCATGGCTAGTGAACCAGCCAGAGCGGATAGAAGGCACTATGTGCCATGGAGGAGACCTGAGCCTCCAACCATAGGCCAGGATCTATGCGCAGCCCTGAGCTATGAACCTGCTGCTTTAGGGGGAGTGCAAGCTTCTCCAGGACAGGCTGGATCCTCAGTCCCTGACCAGCTTCTCTATTGACCAACAGCACCTCATTCTTTTCTGGACTAAGCTTCAGTTTGTTGGCCCTCATCCATCCTATTACCGTTAAGTCACTCGCTTAACAAAGTAGTCGGAGAATGATTCAGCAAAGATTCAGCTTTATTCATCAACTCAAACACAACTCCAACACGGATCAACATCTGATAGCCAGAACAGCTTTTACATTGCAGCTGTCCCGCTTTTAAACTCTCCCAGCTAATGTAGCCACGCCTACTGTACATTTACCAACCAATAAGGTTGTATACATAAGGACCAATCACAGACGTTCCCGCTCAGGGAGCTCGTTGTTGGTGATTGGTTAGGTGCTTCCTGGGCTAGCAATGTGATTGGATGTATTTGGATCCTAGCCCAGGACAAAGCTTAACATAGCATTTCAATTAGATGTTTTCCTAACACATTATGCATTCAATGGCAGCTTATTGAATACATTACATTTCCTCCCCCCTAAGCAAAAACATTCATTGACACTCATAATCGCTTAGGTAGGTTGGTGCTCGGCACACCTGCTGAGACCTGCGTAGCTGTGCAGGCTCAGGACACAGCTCAGCTTGGGGGGCCCTGCTTGACTCTAGAATCTCAGAGTCAGGTACACTTCCGTCCTCTGTTGCAGGTCCGAGGGTAGGGGTCTGCCCTACCTTGGGGACAGTACTGGGCTCGGCAGTACTCACCTCCGGAGGAGGTCTGGGACGGTCCTCTGGTTTGTGGGACTCAGCCGGCTGGGAGTCTAGGCATTCCTTTGCCCACCGCTGCCTAAGCTGGTCTATGTGGCATCACCACTTGCGGCCATCTGCAAGCTCGACCACGTACAGTTGTGAACCAATACACTCAGTTACAGTGGCTGGTAAGCACAAGTGTCCCCCTGCATAGTTCCTGGAGAAAACTTTGTCGCCTGGTTCGTAAGTGCGGACCTTAGGGAGCGCACTCTGCTGCTGGGGCTTCAGATCATTCAGATCTGGGTGAAGATGATCTAAAAGGGTGGTGAGGCGGTGCCCCATCAGCAGCTCAGCCGGGCTGCAGCCTGTGGAAGAGCACGGGGAAACATGCTGGCGCAGTAGGAATGAAGCCAGTTTTACCCCCCCGATCGCCCTGCGTTAACTTGGCCATGGCCTCCTTGGTCGTCCTGACCATTCTCTCCGCCTGGCCGTTAGAGGCCGGGTGGAAGGGAGGCGACGTCAGGTGCCCAATCCCGTTGTCGGATAGGAACTGGCCGAACTCCCTAGAGACAAACTATGCGCCGTTGTCACTCACGAACACGTCCGGTAGTCCGTAGGTGGAGAACAAGCGGCGCAGCACGTTGATGACGGCGATTGAAGTGGTTGAGTGCATTTGAGCAACCTCAAGCCACTTAGAGTAGGCATCTATGACGATAAGGAACATTTGTCCCTGAACAGGCCCCGCAAAATCCAGGTGAAGCCTGGACCATGGCCAGTGTTCCCTCTAAGCTGAGTTAGTGTGAGCTAGCTCACAGTTTTTGAGCCTCTGGCTCACACATTTTTGTCTTGACTCAGGAAGGATGGCTCCAGAGCAAACTAGTTTATCCAGCAGCCAAATCTCTTGCTCACAACTTCAATGCCAGTAGCTCACAAAGTAGAATTTTTGCTCACAAGACCCCACAGCTTAGAGGGAACATTGACCATGGCTTCCCTGCAGATTCCCAGCGCTGGGGCGTAGCAGTAGGAGGTTCAGGCCTGGCCTGTTGACAGGGCATACACACCTTTACCCATTCCTCTATGTCGGCGTCTAAGCCGGGCCACCAAACATACCCCCAGGCCAGCGCCTTCATGTGGACCATGCCGGGATGGCCCTCATGCAACGATTCCAACACTTTTTCCCGGAGTTTGACGGGCACCACCACCCGGTTTCCCCACAACACACACCCTTTCGACACCGAAAGCTCGTTTTGGCGCACCTGGAAAGGTTTGAACTCCGGCTCCACACTCCCTGCCGGCCACCCCCTCCACACCCAGTTTAAAACTCGGGCG